CAGGGAGCCCGATGCGGGGCTCGATCCCAGGACCCTGGGACCATGACCTGAGCCGCAGGCAGATGCTTAACGACTGAGCCACCCAGGCGCCCCGAAAAAAATGGAGATTTTATGGACAACATCATTTGATCTTAATCCAATAAAATTAGAACTAATGAAAGGACTATAACATTCTTAGCTTCTTGGAAATTGAAAAATACACTTGTACATAACTCTGAGCTCAGAGAGGAAATCAAGACTGTTAAGAAAGCAAAGGAGAATATTTAATACCAAACATATGGGACATAGAGCAAAAATTATACTTTGCAGGAAATTAAAAGCCTTAGATAACATTGTTATTATAGAAGAGAATCTAAAAATAAAAGAATTTTTAATGCTCACTTTAAGAAATTGGAAAATGAGAGGCGCCTGGGTGCCTCAGTCAGTTAAGCGTCTGCCTTCGGCTCAGGTTATGATCCAAGAGTCCTGGGATCGAGCCCCGCGCTGGGTTCCCTGCTCAACGGGAGGCCTGCTTCTCCCTCTCCCACTCCCCCTGCTTGTGTTCCCTCTCTTGCTGTCTCTCTCTCTGTCAAATAAATAAATAAAATCTTTGAAAAAAAAAAGAAATTGGAAAATGAATAATAAAATAAAATCCATTAAAAAAGCAAGAAGGCAGAATTAATGTAAGTAAATGGTAAAGCTAATGAGACAGGAAACAAAAATTAGTAGACAGAATAGCAAATCCAAAATCTGGTACTTTGAAAAGACAATAAAATAAGAAAAGCCTTAAGAGCCTAAGTAAGAAAACAGAGAAGGCTAAAATATAGATGGTTAAGAAAGAAGACATGTCCAGAGATTAAAAGAATTTTTTTAACCAAATTTTTACTACCTTATTTTACATATGCCAGAAAAATTTGAATTCAAACTGGGATAGAAGTAAGGATCAGGGCTAGAGAATGGGAGTAGAAAAGATTAATCTAGGAAACTGGTATCTTTTTTCTTTCTTCTAATGAAAGGGTTCCTGATAAGTTTGAATTTTCAGGTATTGATTTTCTTAAAACAGCACATAGCCATTTTCAAACCACTATTCAATCGCATGTGAGTGGAACATCCACTAAACATCTGTAGGAAATGGACTTTTATGTCAAAGACTTGTATTCGGATTCCAACTTGTAGCTTACTGGGTATATCAATTTCATAGAATAATCAAATTTTTCTTTGTAGAACTTTAAAATAAGCACTCTGAAACTTCAAACAGTTCTTAAACATGGTTTTGTCTTCAAGCTACCAGTTTTGAGGGACTGATTTTCTTTTTTTTCCAGTTTACTATAAACACACCACCTACTCCAGAAGACCTGATGTTAAGTCAGTATGTTTACCGACCCAAGATACAGATTTATAGAGAAGATTGTGAGACTCTTCGCCAAAAAATTGAAGAGTATGGAAGTTTTTATTTTTTGTGTGTGTTTTGTTGGATGGGTGGATAATCTGTGTGGTAAAGTTCTAATTAGAATAACATGGGCATAGGAAAAAGTTCATGGCATTAATTGGCAGTGTGATATGGTATGTGGAAAAGAATCAGGTTTGTAGGCAGACAGATTGAAGCTCAGTCCTGGGTACAGCACTAGCTCAGTGACTTTGTGTAAGACATTTAACCTTCATTTCAACATCCATCAATTAGGGATAATAATACCTACTCAGCAGGTAGATATGAGCAGTAAAAATAGTGTATATAAAATGTTTTCATGTCATTCATAGCAAAAAGTATGTCATACACTCAGTAAACAGTTATTAGGTTATGATATCATAAACTGATTGCAAAAGAACATCTTCAAAAGAAGATAATACCCTTTAGAAATTTATATATAGTGCCTGAAATCAAGATTGTCTTTGGGTTTATAATTTTATCACATTTGCCCTTGATTTGCATGTAAGAAAGTACATGGTATTACACAGATTATTGCTCAGTGCTTTGGTATATGTGGATGCTGCATAGTAATTTACAGATTAGGTATATCTAAATTCCCTCAGGTAAATTAGATTTGTGCAAAATATATCATATTTACCTAGAACTATTCGACTAAATTTGAACCAATCTAACAAACAGAAAAGAAATAAAATAATTTTTAAATAACTATATAGTTTTTAAACTAAAAACTTAAGATGCTGTTAAATTATAATACTACAGATTTGCCTGATTCTGGTTTTTCATTCCACAACTGTATATTGAATACCTACTATGTGCCAGGCACTGTACTAGGTACTGGGGCTCATCACTGAACAAGACACAAAAGGTTTTTTTCTTCATATTGTCTAAAAGAGTTGAGTGTCTCAAGATTTGTCTTAGAATGTTTTATTTTGAATAAATAGGATCTCACATACAATGCACAGTCTGTTTAGATGTGCTCTACTGTTTGATTTTACACTTATGTTCCTGTATATAATATATTCTAACTCTGGTAGAAATTTATTTCTTATTAACAAGAGACTAATATATAATTTTACTACTTTTATAAATGCTATTGTATAAAGGTGAGTTAAGACTGGGAACTGAATTGGGAACTTTTACTTAAAATAATAGCTACAACTTCATAACAGTTATGCACTGATAGGCCTTAAGGATTCTTTAAAAGCAACATATTTTTATATTGGAACAAGTTCATTGAGATTGTGAGGGAAGTTTTTCTGATTCATAACATTTTTGAACTGTTCTACAAGCATTGAAATAATCAGGCTGACCACTGTTCTTGTGTGAATTCCCCTTTTTTTAATGTAGAAAAGAACTAGGAGGAATTAAGTTAAGTTTGCCTGTAAATCTCAGTTGATTCATTCAAGCTGACTTCTGAACCCTGTGCTAATTAATTAGCTTTTCTATATTTTAGATTAAAGCTTTCTGCATTGAACCAGGATAAACTGTTGACTGATGTAAATAGGAACCTGTGGGAAAAAATGAGACACTGCTCTGATGAGGAGGTATTTTTATCTCATTTTCTGAATGGGAATTAGTATAGACATTTTGAACCTGTTTATTGTGAAATAAGTAACTGTTACTTGATAATTAGTGATGAGTTCTTTAACTTCTCAGGTAAAATATGTTAGCAAGGTTTTTATTTAATTATACGTGAATAATCATTAAAATATATAATCTTTTCAAACCCCAAATGACCAATTAAATATATGAAATATATTTGAAGTTCATTTAGAATTTCCTCCTACTTGTTTCACTTAGATTTAGATGAGGAAAAGATTTACTTTAATTGGTTACTTAAATAGCAACTCATTTTATATGTGCTCTAATATATTAAGAGTTTTATTAACTTAGGGCCTATCATTTTCTGATTTGTAATATGAATAAATGAATTAAAGGCAAGAATTAAATTAAAATCTTTGGTTCTGTTCTTAAACTACTAAATGTGATTGAATTTGCAAATGAGACATGCCCTGCCTTAGGAATCAGTCTAGGATGGGCAAAACAGCCCATAGCAGCTGAACCAGCCTTCCCAGACCATTTGCCTTTCCTAACTCATTTGTTTTAGTACGCCCTAACCTTTGATTTTTCCTTGCAGCTGAAGGTCTTTGGAATTTACCTAAACAAAATAAAATCACGTTTTACAAAGATGACTAAAGTCTTCACTCACCAAGGAAAAGTGGCTCTCTACAGCAAACTGGTACAGTCAGCTCAGGTAATTTGAAACAGTTAACAGCATAGAAAGAAAGATCTATTAAAATTACTTTATAGTGGTTATAGAATATGAAGAATGTTTCCTAAGGAACATGGTTCATAAAGAGGTGGGGTTCAGTTTATCAAAAGTGGGAAATCTGGCATCTTGAGTAATTGTAGAATATATTTACTAATACAGGCCTATGTCCTCATCTCAAGTTTGTGATCTATTTATGTTTTTAAGTAATTCTGCACACAACATGGGGCTCAAACCCACAAGCCCGAGATCAAGAGTCGCGTGCTCTACCGACTGAGCCAGATAGGCGCCCCTGTGTGTGCATGTTTAAAGTAGCATTTCCCAAAATGATTGTACTTCGCATAAAAAAACTTTTTCCCTCGGCAAATAATTCTGAGAAATGTTACATGCCATATTCCCCCTTTGGAGAAATATAATAGCTAGCATATTAAAGTCTAAAGTCAGAAATATTTTTTTAAGTCTAAAAGGAACAAAACAGGGGCGCCTGGGTGGCTCAGTCGTTAAGCGTCTGCCTTCGGCTCAGGTCATGATCCCAGAGTCCTGGGATCGAGCCCCACATCGGGCTCCCTGCTCTGCAGGGAGCCTGCTTCTCTCTCTCCCACCTCCCCTGCTTGTGTTCCCTCTCTCGCTGTGTCTCTCTCTGTCAAATAAATAAATAAAATCCTTAAAAAAATAAAAGGAACAAAACATGCTATAGTTCTGTTCAGTGTTTCCCATATTTATTTGACCGTAGAACATTTTTTTAGGCACTCTTTTTTTGGGGGCGCCTGGGTGGCTCAGTTGGATAAACGTCTGCCTTCAGCTCAGGTGTCATGATCGCGAGGTTCTGAAATTGAGCTCCAGGCAGGCTCCCTGCTCAGCGGGGATTCTGCTTCTCCCTCTCCTTCTGCTTCCCTCTCTCTCAAATAAATAAATATTTTTTAAAAAAATTATTATTTTTGGGGGGCATCTGGGTGGCTCAGTTGGTTCTTTCGCTCAGGTCCTGATCTCAGGGTCATGAGATTAAGTCCCGAGTTGCGCTCCACACTGGGTGTGGATTAAGATTCTCTCTCAGTCAGTCAGAGAGAGACAATTATCATATGATCTCATTCATATGTGGAATTTGAGAAATAAGGCAGAGGATCATACGGGAAGAGAGGAAAAATGAAACAAGAAGAAACCAGAGAGGGAGACAAACCATGAGAGACTCTTACTCTCAGGAAACAAACTGAGGGTTGCTGGAGTGGAGGCGGGGTGGGTGGGATGGAGTGGGTAGGTGATGGACATTGGGGAGGGTATGTGCTATGGTGAGCACTGTGTATTGTGTAAAACTGATGAATCTCAAACCTGTACCTCTGAAACAAATAATACATTATATGTTAATAATTAAAAAAAAAAAGATATTCTCTCTCCCTCTCTCTTTGTCATTCCCCTCCCCCCTCTAAAAATTTTTAAAAATAAAAAATCCTTTTTGCGGGGAGCACCTGGCTGGCTCAGTCAGTGGATATGAGACTCTTGCTCTTGGAGTTGTAGGTTTGAGGCCCATATTGGGTGTAGAGATTACTTAAAATCTTTAAAAAAAAAATTTTTTTTTTAAGTAACATGTATTAGCATCTTATATGACATGGAAATACTGGAATAAAGGAAAGTACAAAAAATAAGTTTATATTAATCTGTTATGTATGCTTTTTAAAAACATTTCAAGTCCAGGCTTGAAGCTTTGACCTTCATTTTAAGATTTGCCTGTTCGTGATATAGCAGTATGTCAGCAACTTTAACCACTTATAATGTTAAAATATTTTGTTTAGAAGTGTAACTTGACAATATGATATTGTGTGTTTAGAATGAGAGGGAGAAACTTCAGATAAGGATAGATGAGATGGACAACATACTTAAGAAGATTGAGAACTGTCTCACTGAGGTTGAAATAGGTAATGTATTTTGAATACTTTTCCAAAAGAAAATTTAATTTTATCTAAATACTTCCCTACAGTACAGATTGCTGGTGTCACTTATGTTGAAGCCTTGTATTAGCAACTTGAGACATTAAATTAGAGCAAAATAAAACTCCTTTCCTGTGGTCATCCGTAACACAATCAACAAGAGATGCTCAAGATAATAAATCTCTTTAGAAAGCTCTTCATAATCTAAACCATAGTCTTATTTTTTTAAATAGATGAACTTATTGTCTTCTTTGAAAATTATCTCTCCTTTCAGTTTGATCTCTCATGATCCCGCATTGTTACTATTATTGTCCTGAAATTGCTTTCTCAAAGATCACAAAATTCCACATAATCATCAAACTTGGAAGCTCTTGGTTCTTAACCATCTTGACCTCTCAGCATTTGACACTGCTGATTCTTTTCTTTCTGAACCTTTCATCTCCCTGAACCTCTGTGATACTGCACTACCCCCAACTGTTTGCTTTTTTCCTGAGTACTCCCTTTAGTCCTTCTGTTGGTCTCTCTCTAACCTCATGTGTAGGCATTTAGATTTTATCATCTAGGGGCGCCTGGGTGGCTCACTTGGTTAAGCGACTGCCTTCGGCTCAGGTCATGATCCTGGAGTCCCGGGATCGAGTCCCACATCGGGCTCCCTGCTCAG